GGCACCGACGGCCAAAATCGATTTTCACGATTTTCTCAAAATAAAAGTGAAATTATTCAAAATGAACATCAGTACGTTTATTGGGATGGTATTCTACATCTTTGGAGCAAATATGAAAAAAATCGATTTTTTTAACTTGGGCGCTAGATGTTTGATTTTTACAGACATTGCCTCTTAAAAATATTAGTGTTATGAAAACTAAATTAACCTATCTAACACGTATTAAAACTCGCATTTACCTACTGGTTACCAAGTCATGTTGAAAATTTTAAATTGAAATAACTTTCCAATTGCTTAAAGTAGAGTAAACAAATGCATGACTTCGTTCCTGAGTCAAACCGACCAAATGCACGCTCATTTTTTAAATTTTAATTGGAATGCGACGTCATAAATACGTAGCCATGATAAAGTTATCACACATATCAGTCGAGAACGATCCATTTCACAAATTGGTTATATTTATGAGCACTTAAAACATAAGAAAAACGTCTCGGATATTTTAATCTTTTCCATATAGCACTGAACCGCAGTTTGTAAATAGGCACTAAAGACCCCCTTAATCACTATTTGTTATTTTGTTAATATGACGACGTTCCTGCAATTACGAGTAAGTATGAATATGAAAATAAAAATAAATGTCATGCCTTGATATGTCACTGTCCAGATTTCGCAACATTAATTTCCTCAGGCTCATCCTCTTGGTCTAAAACCTCCTGGAAGCTACTYGGAGAATCCGAAAGTCCTTGATTGCCACCGTCATTGTTTACTCTTTGCATGACATTTGCGGGTTCAGTATAAATGGCCGATGCTTCTCCGTGTGCTTCGCTGACCAGTTGCAGAACATCAAGACAGCACGATACGTCACATCGAGGTTCTTTCTTCAACTCGGTGATTTTAGCCACGATACTTGACAGATATTGAACTGTTGATTAATTCAAAAGATAATATTAAATCAAAAAGAATTAAGAGTGAATATAATGGAATGTTATATGAATTAATACTTATATAAACTCCTTGCATTGGGAGGAATTGTTCTTGGGGACAAAACAATAGGCAGTCTTTTTCTTAGGCTGCGTTCATAAATTCGCATGAGACAACAATTTTGAAAAAATGAAGTGCACACCACCATTTTGTTTTCTTTTTTTTTCCAGAATCAACATTTTAAAGTGCGACTACTCCAACCAAAGCCACCTCGACAAATTTTCCACAAATTATCCAATTTGAGTATTTAGACAATAGATTAGCGGTAAATTTTGAATTTAAATATTCTTCCGTTGTTCCGGTTGGTAAAACTAAATGATGAAGAAGAAGTTGTAATATATTTTCTTCGCAAATTAGTGATTTGTGTCACCAAAGATAAAGAAAAATAGTAATGTACAACTTCAAATACGACAGGAAAGTAAATTAGAGACCGTATAAAACACAGTCTTTATGATTACAGTTTGTTTCTTTCAGACAAAGATATTATCAGGCTGAAACTATTAGATCTTATCACTATGTTGCTATGCGACAGCACGTTTATATTCGACAACAAAGGTGCCGGCAGTCTTCTAAGACGTGTAAACCCATGGATATTTGTCCGATTTGTAACAATTCTATTGTTCAGATTCCTACTTTTGATTGGCTAATTTGTAGAAAATTTGTCGAGGTGACTTTGGTTGGAGTAGTCGCACTGTAATTATTCTCATTTTTACCTGTGATTAATATAACTACGATAACGTTAGTTCCAATGAGGAGAATTGTGATCGTGAGTTCATCAGCCTCGTTTTTGATCCCAGACGCCGAGTCCTCTTTAGGAATCTTCATCAACATCCCCACAGTAAAGTTAACAGAACTTGCCATCAAGGATAGCAATTGCAACCAGTGCTCAAACATGTCTTCGATCGGCTTGTAGAGTGCAAAGAAAACAGAATACAGACCTGATAATATTGCAGTTAAACCCAAACTCGTTCGGCTCTCAGCGTTCATCATTATCAGTATCGCACTGAAAGATATTTTTCGCACCAGCTCTAAGATTTCCCAGAACCAGCAACTCGGTGAGTAGTTTTCGTACAGAAAACGAAGGCTGCTCAAGATGACACTGTTTTTGTTTATTTTCACTTGTGCACGTTTAAGAACCAAGAAGAGAGCCAATGGTAAGCCAGTGCAATACAGTAATGTCACTGTGCTCAGGGTCCCATAGATTTGATGTTTTTCTGTGTCACACTGTACTGAGTAATCAGCTTTGAGGTATGATTTACAGTTCTGGTCATCATACGAGCAGATCCTGTGACATGCAGCAGGCAACATCTGGAAGACACTGGTGCACGTCGATGGGAAAGTAATGAAAAGGATCAGGATCAAACATCGGTTACTCCTCTGTTTATATTCAGCGAATTTYCTCTGTTTTTCTCTTGTACTAGAAAAGGATKTCCTGTTAGCGTAGAACGTAATGACAGTGTTCAGCAAGATGCCAGTGACTGCAACAGCAACTGTTATGACGACACTTGTCAAGAAATACGTGTAAGCATCTGTTTTTATTTGGTCATGGATRCAGTTCAAGGGGACTATTTGRAGAASGTTCAACTGAACAGCTTTGGCGTATTTCATAACGRTAAGAATGGGTGCTGGCCAGTTGACATACGAGAACGATTCAAACGTGCCTGAAGAAACTTGATAGAAACCGATGATGATCTTAAGCCTTGCCAGAAAAATATCTGAAATCGACCTTGATGGATCTGTCATRTCTTTYGWKTCCTTCTTTKTTTTCCARATACTGAGTCCCAARAGTRTGACGACGAATATCACAAATAAAACTGCTTGAGCTATGATCCATGGAAGAGATGGACACGGTCGACATTGTGCCATCACGTTAGTGTATCCCTTATTACAAACRGCACACAAAGGTCCTGTATAACCTGTGGCACACGAGGCCATGCTTCCTCCGAGACAAGTGTGCGCAGAAGGGCAGGCGTGAGCATCTGGAACGTTTCCTTTGAATTTTCTTGTTTTGTAATTTTCTCCAGTAATGTTCAAGTCATCTTTAAAGGCAAGGTAGTTTTGTAAAGTGTCATTATTTTGCCAAACCCAGTAGAATCCAGGTGCTAGGTTAACGCCCTCATTGGTACACACATAACCTTTCGTACATGCATAGCAAGGTCCAAATCGGTCCAGGCGATAGTGATCCACAAGGCAACCACACGCACGAAACTTTGCAAATTCTTTGAGATTTGTTCCTGTTAAACAACATATTCTGGTTCTTAGGAAGTAAAAATTATTGCCTAATTTTTGGGTTAAATTGTCATGAACAATGCATTGAGTTACATTACTATCGTTGAAGACTATCTGATATTAATTAATGTGCGTGCGATTATGAAATTTGCTTTGGTCATGTTTTGATTAATTGTTACCTAAATTGCCAACCATAAATCTATTGGGCTAACCAATAAAGCATAAAGTGACCAAAACCTTTTGCTAAAATGATTGGTACATTTAACATCACATATGGCAATGCTTCTAGAAAGGTGAGTTCTTTAATTGCAATATTAGAGAACCTTGTTCACACGATTTACAGTCTGACTGGGATTTTCCTGGGACCATTTCAGGTTTGACATAAGTACCACTTGGACACTGCTTGCAGCCCAGACCATACACTTTGACACCTGTGTAAGCTAGCTCGTCTTGGTAAAATCCACCTACAATTCAAGTGATAATTTATTTGCATACATACACCTACTTGCAAGAAGGTTGTCATACCAGAATAGAACATTCGTAATTTAGTGAGAAAGGAATTCATTAAAAGACAAAAGAAAAAGTTCAGCTTCAGTGATCTTCTTTTGTTTTTTTAAATATAATTCCAATCCCACTAAATCATTAATGTTCTATTTTCGTATGACAACGTTCTTGCAAGTAGGTGTACATACATGTATAAGCTTTATTAATGTGTCAGTCTTCTAGCGTACCTCTAGTAGTACACTTATCAGGGACACTATAGACAGGGACACTCTCTTCTCTCCCTTTTATTTTCTCTCAATAGTCTCTTTCTGCTTGTCTCTGTTGAAAATAGATGTTCTGATCAAATAAATAAAAGTTATTTGAAGGGAATATGTTTAGCTAACACAAGTTCTTTAAATGTAGTGACAAGTGGTAGTGTTGTGCATGTGTGCCCTCTCTGTAAAACTGTTATCAATCTAGTTACAACACCTAAATATCTCAAAATGTCCACAACAAGGATTCCATATTATGGACAGGAAAACTTTGTTTTCACTTTAATTTTTCGATTGCTTTATTGGCATTTTTTTAATTTTAGGGCAAAGCCTACCGTYAACCTACCTATCTACGTTTCCATTAATTTGAAACAGAACAGTTCAACATAACATTATGTGATTGAAGGCACCGCGGATGCGGGAGGCTTCGAAGTGGCTGGCCCCTAAGTTTTTAGCCATAAATAAATTGCATAAAACTTTGACATGGCTTTAATACCACAAACCCATTTCATTTACCTATCAAAATTGCGTACTGGAAATCGCATTTCAAAGAACCTTAATTTCAAAAATAAATTTCAAAGGTATTAAGTCATTCCCCTATACCCCC